GCAGGGTGCAGGGCTCACAGTTGTAATCCCAGTACCTTGGGAGGCATAGATGGGAGGGTCACATGAGGCCAGGCATTACAGACCACCTGCGGCAACACAGTGAGACCCTGCCTTTACACAAAATTAAAAAAAAAAAAAAAATATATATATATATATATATATATATATCAGCCAGGCATGGTGATGCATGCCTGTAGTCCTGGCTACTAGGGAGGCTGGGGTGGGAGGATCACTTGAGCCTAGGAATTTGAGGGTGCAGTGAGCTACAATCATGATTACTCTGAGCTATGATCATCATTGCTCTGTCCTGAGTCACAGAGCAAGACTGATGTCTCAAAATATTTTAAAACGGTTTTATTATTGTTTCTTGGTAGGAAACACTACAAAGGTAAGATTCGTCTTCATTGTGCATGCCAAATGAACAAGACCCAAAAGCAAGTATCATTAATAGATCCTTTTTTACTTACAGAGTATACAAGCAGACAGAGTCATGAAATGGTCAATTTACATACATGCAGTTAGAGCTCTACCTAGAATCTTAAAAAGAAAATCAATCTTATACAAAACCTGGTGTTAAAAGATGCATTAAAAAAATTTTTTTTTTGACATGGAGTCTTGCTCTGTTGCTCAGGATGGAGTGCAGTCGCAGGATCTCTGCTCACTGCAACTTCCACCTCCCGAGTTCAAGTGATTTTACTGCCTCAGCCTCCTGAGTAGCTGGGATTACAGGCATGTGCCACCACGCCCGGCTAAATTTTGTATTTTTAGTAGACATAGGGTTTTGCCATGTTGACCAGGCTGGTCTTGAACTCCTAACCTCAAGTGATCCACCTGTCTCGGCCTCCCAAAGTGCTGGCATTACACCTGTGAGCGACCACACCTGGCCAACAATATGAATTCTTAAAAACAAACAAACAAAAGTACTGCCCGAACAGCATTTCACCCAAAAAAAGCTTATGTAAAACATTTATACGGCCCATAAAAGCATAAACCAGATGAAGACAATGTGCCAATGGCTACTGTTCAGGTATTTTTAGTAACTGAGTCTATTATCTATTATCATAAACCTTACAGACCATGAACTTTGATTTTTCCTAAAGAGACTGAAATACAGCATTTCAATAGGCAGTACTCAACCTGACAACTGGATTAAATGATAAAAATGCATTTATAGATTTGTTGTTTTGCACTTATAGGCACAATTTCTTACAGAACAACTGCAGAAGAAATTTAGCCTACGTGACCTAAAATACAGTTGAATTATTACTTACTGCATTTCTGTTCTTACTATTTATGAAGAAGACAGGTATCCTAGTGCCTTGTAGAGAAGGGATTTCTAAAACGTGAAGGACTATGTTTTACCCTCAAGAGAGGCACTTCTGCACATTCTTTATCCTCATTAGTTGTTCCTAAAACCTATAGGTATGGCAACTATAATCAGTATGAGGATACATGTACATATGTAACCCGGGAATCAAGCAAAACAAAATGCCAACTGTCCTCTCAGAAGATCAGTACCCTTGAAAAGTTCCCACAATTGAAGTTTATACTTTTAGTTATTTTCCTGAAGGACATGAAAATAACTGGAACAAAACAAAATGAATTGTATGAACTGTATAAAGGAATTCAGCACAAAGCCTGGAAGCAGAATGCTTATGATCTGGTATGATTCACACCCCCTCTTTTCTACTTATAGAATGGCAGAAATCATAAAGCAAAACCATTGTAAATTTAACTTGGAAATGTAAAGAGCACTGTCAAATGTCCAAAGTCTATAGTTTAAGTGATTATAGAAAGAAATGATAGGCTTTAACAGCTATAGAATAAACAACTTGGTTTAAAACATTTTCAGATTTGTTAGAATTTAAAGGAAATTAGTCCTATTTATAGATTTAATATTCATATTAACTTTTCCAATATCACTAGAGTATCTCAAAACACTTTCAACAATAAAGATGAGATTAACTTATTTCCAAACATATAAACAGAATTTTAAAAAACCCTGTGATGCATCATTAGTACAAACATGCAATTACACTACACTTTGAGACATGCAGAATGAATATGTTACCCAAGAAACATGACATACAGCACCAAGCTTACAGTAGATGACAAACAAACCTTAAAATTAGGGATGACGGTCTGATGTTTTGTGCATAGAAGTGATAGCTGACCCAGAAGGGCAGGCATGGGTGGTCTTATGAAGAAGCAGATTGGGATGCTAATAAAAATTGTAGGGGTAAGGAAGAGAAAGACAGGAGAATTAAGCTACACAAGAAAGATGTGAAGTATCTCCATTTTGCCTGTATGTTATCCACCCATCCAACCAACCAATTATTAAAATACTTAAAAGGAACTAGACACTGATCAAGGCTTATTCTTACTTGGGTCAAAGGCACACATTTTTTGGATGATTGCATAAGAGTGCAATTTGATTTCAGAACAGAAAAATCTAATTGGTAATCACTTACTGAATTCACCCTCAACCTTGATCTCATTAATAAGTGCTCACTGACTGAAACTTTGCAACTTTTGGGTCAGTTGGTCCTCTAGGCATACATTCAACTCTGAGAAAGTCTCTAACCTGATCAAGACCTGTTTTTAGCTTCAATGGCCTCGCTTGCCAGATAAAACCAAAGTAAGGAATTTGAGTCTTGTGAAAAGCTGGAGAAACACACAGGCCACTGGAATAATGGAGCCACGTCCCAGATACAAGTTGGAGCTATATACTTATCTCTTGACTTCTGGACTAAGACACAGATTAATGGCATATATATATCATCTAACCATATCATGTATCTATAAGTATCCACTAGCATTAAACCAGGGACTGTTCTCAACCTTGTTCAACATAATACTCAGTGTATTTACTGTAAAAGGACAAGCTTTTGGAGAAAAACAATGCCGTACAACAATGTGCAAATCACATATAAAGAATCAGTTTCCTTTCTATAAAATAGGGATGTTAATCATTGCCCTGCCTAACTCACAGTGTCACTGAGAGGCTCAAATAAGACAGTGAATGTGAAACTGCTGAAGTATTATTACTACGTAAGGTGCTCCTTTTGTGAACTTCTAAACTTTCTTCTAATAAGAGTTTTACCGTAAGGTTTAGAATATGTATATATGGAAGATCTAAATAAATAGGGCTTTGGAGGTGGCGATGGAGAAAATGATTGGGATGGATACTGGGTCGGAACATAGGGTGTTAGTTCCAGAATTACAGTGAAGTCCTGATGCAAAACCAGAAGAGTTATGTGCTTACCTTTTGCAGACACTAGTCAACTGCCTGTTGCCTGCCCCGCTTCTCTGCCTGACTGTTACTTTTAGGTGAACCACTGGGGACAAGTTTGAGTGTGGTGGTGTACGGGGAGGGACTTCTAACCCTGAAGATGAACTTCTTCCCCAATCTCTTAAAAAACAAAAAACAAAAAACAAAAAACACTCCTTCTTCTCTTTGGGCCTTGTTCAGTTAGCTTCAACTAGTTCTGACATGAAAATGGCTGTTAAAAAATATCTTTTAGGCAGCGTCCTATGAGTACCTACTCCTTTACTCACCATGAACTACTTCTAACGGACAGATTCAGAAGCAGAAAACCCGTGTTACGTATGTTTTGTTTCTTCCAAGGCTCACCCACAGGCCTCACCCTCCCAGCCTTAACTCTCCCATCCATAAAATGGTAAATGACGGCGCCTGTCAGCTCCATCCCACGGCCACCAAGAGGATGAATGAGTGCTCGGAAACCGCCGCAAGTGGTGTCTGTTAAACACCCCGTCCACCACTGTTTATAAACTATCATCATGAGTCCGGCTATGCCCTCCTGCTTGAGGAAACCGCCTGGTTAGGACCAACACTCTCCGTCACTAAAGAAGGCAACGCTGAAGCTGGCAGGGCGCGTATTCCGCACAGAATGTGTGTCGGGGTGCAGGGAAGGTGCGACCCCCGTTACCGGGCGGGGCGGGGCTCACCGCAAGCCTACCTGTTGTTCCGGATGCTGACCAGTACGCAGAGCACCAGCTCCAAGTAGGTGCGCAGCACTTCCAGCCAACGAGCTGAGAGCTGCAGGGCCTCGACTTCCTCCCCTCCAGTCCCGGTGTCCACGCCACCTCCGTCGCCTGGGCCGCAGCCGCTCAGGTAGTTCTCGGCGGCGAACTCAACACGCAGCTCTCGCACGAACCAGCCGCACTTGCGCATGAGGAATTCCAGCCGAGGCTGCTCCGCCGGCGAGACGCGGAGGCATATGCGGAGCTGGGGCCAGAGGGCCGGATAGAAGAGGCACTCACGCCAGTGCGAGCAAGAGGCCGAGGCCCGCAGCCGGTCGGGCGCCGGCAGGAAGGAGAAGATGTGCACGATTAGCTCGCTGGGCAGCGACGCGGCGCCAGCCGCCTGCCCGCACAGAGCCATCCGGCCCCGCCGCCTGCTGCCGGCTCCCGACCGCCCCCGCAGTCCCCGGAGCAGCCCCCGCAGCCGTCGCAGCTGCTGCAGCCGCAGCCGCCGCCGCCGCCGCCACCGCGCCACCCGGGCGGCCCCGGCTCGGGTTCGAGCTCCCGGCTGTCGGGGCTGCGGCACTGACAAGAACAACAACATCAATGACAAGGAAGAAGGGGGCGGAACCGTCGTGGGTCTCGGCGGAACCAAGTAGAGCACCAGTTGTGGAGAGGGGGAAAGTCCCCTGCGGGCGTGGCCTGCCCAGAGCCAGCCTTTGTCTTCTCAAACTCTACTCACGTGCGTCCGAGGCCGGCACACTCAGTAACCGCAAAACCCACTCTCGTACAGTTCAGCGGCCCGGAAGCCTCAAGGCATACTGTAAGGAAAAGGCAGCCCTCCCTGCGCCGGTAGGCGGAGGCCGAGAAGTGGTAGGAGCTGAGTTTGACGTTGCTGCTGGTGGGAGGAGCCCGGCGCGCACTGGCGCGACTTCCGGAAAAGGGGAGCGCCTGATTGCCGGTAGGGACGGGAGACGCGGCACGTGATCTCTGACGCACGCAGGCCGCGGGGCGGGGCTGGGCGGGGCTGGAGCCTGCACTGGGCGACGCTTACGCTTACGGCGGCCGCTGCGCCCCGTCACATCTGTAAGTCCGTTAATTTGGGCGCTCGGTCGAGGGAGGTGGCGGCACTCTTGCTTAGTGCGAGAGGTCGTCACGCTTCTCTGTAAAACGTTTCTCAGTTTGGGCTGAGGACCCTGAGCGAAAGTGGCGGCATGTAGGGTCTTTCTCAGTCATCCCACCTGCCCATAGTAGTTCCCTGAGATTGCGCCGCTGAGAGGAAGCGGGCAGACTGGCGGGCTAACTCCGGGGGGCTTCGCCAGGAGGAGCGGCGCGGGGCGGGGCCGAGGCCGCGAGTGGACCTGACCCCTCGGTCCGACCTCGCTAGTGGACTTCCGCGCACACCCTGGTGTGTGGGGAAGCAGTGAGGACAGCGCCACCCTTTGGATTCAGAGGGAGAGAAAAAAAATTGGTAAATGGGGCAGAGATCCGCAGGTTGTTACCAGCTTCTTCAGGGCTTAAGAGCTTCTGTTCCCAGTGCCGAGATTAAGGCTTTCGTTGAAGAGAAGTTCACGGTGATGACAGAGTTTTGATCTTTTTTTCTTCTTTTTTAGCCTGGTGCTCCTAACTTACATTTTTTAAACCATGTCCCTAACTTCACCACAACCTGCAAAGTTAACTCTGGTTGCAAAGAGTGGTGAAGTCAGAAAGGATTAAGTGACTTTATGACTTTATGTAATAATTGAAGGTTGCTTTAGGGAGGCTGCCTCTTTATATAGTAATTGAGGGTTGCTTTAGGGATGATGTGGTTTTGGAACAAACTCCTTTTTTTGTGGTAAACACCAAGGTGTTCTAAGGTGTTTTTAATCCTTTGAGGGCAAAGTTCTCCGTTCATGTTTCTTTAATGCCTTGCACATACAGGGTTGCAAACAATATGACGTTCACTACCAATTGTGATAGGTTTCTTCTCCGAGCCCCGTCTGCATGAGTTTTAAGTAATTAGACCTTATTGATTTTAATGAACACTTAGCGACCCCAGCCGTGGGTTCGGCAAGATGAAACACTACCCATTTACCAGTTTACAGACATTTAGGTTGTTTCCAGTTCTGGGCTGTTACGAATAATGCTGTGACCATTCATGTGCAAGTCTGTGTGGACATATGTTTTAATTTGTCTTGGGTAGATACCTAGGAAAGTGATGGGTCATAGGGGAGGTCTATGTATAACTTTTGGAGAAGCTGGAAAACTTTTCCAAAGTGACTGCATCATTTTTCATTCCCACCAGCAATGTATGAGGGTTTCCAGTTCTCTGACTTTTTTCAATATTCTGGAAATACACTCAAATTTGAGATTGATATTTTTTTCTTAGCATTTTGCTAGAAACAAGTTACCTTCTTCTTGGACATCATCAATTATTAGTCTTTAATTATTAGGAGTGGTTCCTGAGTAAACTGAAAATATGTCAATCTTCCATAAATGAAATTCATTATTTTAGAATTTCAAATTTTCTTATTAAATGAAGCGTGGTAGGAATTATGTTTGTAATAACTGTAAGCTAAAGAATTAGTAAGCTGTGAATCTCTCCCAATTTCAATAATAAATCAGTGAATTCCAATGATGGCACAAAATTTATCAAGCTAGCATATTTACTATTAATTAAATGTATATTGAGTATGTATATGTAGCATGTTAGATTCTTTTGACATATATTCTATACTGCTAAAATGAATTTGACTCATATAGGACAGAATGGAATTACATTTTGTGAAGTTATAAATCTGAGCTATGATTCAGAGTGTGGGAGGAAGTACTGACGTTATGAAGCTTATAAGTACCTAGTAGTACTAAGCTCCAGGTTCCAAAAGTGGCATATTGTCACTATAGCAACCACCATGCTTATTTGGATTTGAAACCCAGGCAACGAGTGGTGGATAGGACTATCACATGAAGGTAGATATGTGCTCTGGTGGATTGATATGCCTGCCTTTTAAAAGTCAGTGGTCTGTTCTGTTTGTTTTTGTTACATTTATTACGATCAATTCTTTTAGAGAGAAATTAAGTACTTAATATTTTTACATTTCTCCTTTTCTAGCATGCCAACTTTAGTGTTTTTCCTAGTTAGGTAATTGGGATTTTAAATATATCTTTACTATGGCTTTATTTCCATTTTTGCTTAAGTTTGGCAACTTTCTTTGGGTTAAATATAACTTTCATTGTACTGAATCACTTGCAATTTTATAATAGAAAAAGTAAAAACCATGACAGATTTTATTTTAGCTGCATCATGAAAAGATGTTTAAGGCTACCAATAAACACAAAGATTGCCTAAATTCTAATATTTTTTGAAAAAATATTGCTTTCTGAGTGATGTCTGGGTTTCAGACATTGCTGACAGGTAGAGGTGACATAAACACCATTCCAATTATCTGTTAGCATGCATCCATAAGTTACCTAGAGGCACTGGAGCCTCCTAGGAGAATAGATCTAGGGACCCGATTCCTGGCACCCTTGTCTAATGGATTAAAGTGCCTCCTAGGGGGATCATATCACAGTAAAAAGAAATGAGGGATTGAAAGGAATTCATCTTTAGAGGGGGAAGTCTGCGTTGTTGAGCTAGATGCCAGAGTACTAGGTCATTGGTTTGTCAGTCTCAAGTGAAGCATGTTGCTGGTATCACAACTTTTGCTAACCAAGCCACTCATGAGCTGATTGTGCAAGACCTCTCTTCGTAAAGCAGGGAATGATAACTCCTATCTCAAAGGAATCAGACAGAGGTAATGAGAGAAGAATTGGGTCCTGTGCAATATAGGGAGAGGGAAAGTTTGTGTCTTACAGGAGGATGCTTTACACAAGTAGGAAAATGGGCTCTATGTTTCCAGATTTCCTAGGTTTCCAAAGGAACTAAAATCCTCATTTTTAAAAAGGTTAAACTTTCTGATTGCCAATTTATTTACATTAAAAATATTCTGTGGGCATAACAAAACCAGATTTAGTCTTCAGGGCACCAGATTTCAAATTGTTTACTGAGGCTATCAAAACTGTGGGCCGAGGCCATTTTTTGTCTCTATGGCTAGTCCTGCTGGCTAATCCCTGCATTTTTTTTTTTTTTTTTTTTTTTGTGAGGGAATCTTGCACTGTTGCTCAGGCTGTAGTGCAGTGGCATGATCTTGGTGCACTGCAGGCTCTGCCTCCTGGGTTCAAGCAGTTCTCCTGCCTCAGCCTCCCAAGTAGCTGGGACTACAGGAGTGCACTGCCACACCCAGCTAATTTTTTGTATTTTTAGTAGAGACACAGCTTCACCATGTTGGCCAGGATGGTCTCAATCTCCTGACCTTGTGATCCACCCACCTCAGCCTCCCAAAGTGCTGGGATTACAGGCGTGAACCATGGCGCCTGGCTAATCCCTGCATTTTAAGTCCAATTCCAGAGCTTTTTTTCCCTCATCCATCCCATTTAGTTAAAGAAAAAATGAGTTAGAAAGGTTTAACTTGAATGCCTCTTTTATTGCATTACTGATTTCTTTCCTTTTATTTAAGAGGACTGGTGTTTTCAGAGATAGCCCTTTTTGCTTAAGTACATATTGAAAACTAAAATTGTTATGTTTAGTGCAGGTGATTCAACCAATAAAGTTCCTTGACTTCTATTTAAAATCAGTAATTGACTAATGATCTTGGAGTTGTGCAAGTTAAATTATAGGTGGGATCTGACAATGGAGCTCACAGGACTGTTAATCAAGAGGCACAGTCTCAGCTGGGCATGGTGGCTCATGCCTGTGATCCAGCACTTTTGAGAGGCTGAGGTGGGTGGGTCACCTGAGGTCAGGAGTTCCAGATTAGCCTGGCCAACATGGTGAAACCCTGTATCTACTGAAAATACGAAAATTAGCCAGGTGTGGTGCTGTGTGTCTGTGGTCCCAGCTACTTAGGAGGCTGAGGCAGGAGAATTGCTTGAATCTGGGAGGCAGAGGTTGCAGTGAGCTGAGATAGTGCCACTGCACTCCAGCCTGGGTGACAGAGTAAGACTTCCTCTCCAAAAAAAAAAAAAAAAAAAGGCACAATCTCCAAGTAGTCATTTTAATTGGGTTCCTTTGGTTGTTTAACCTAACTAGCTTAAGCACTGACCCTCTTCCTTCTCTTTCTGGAGTTTTGAGGACATCCACAGGTATCATTTGATACGTAGGGACAAGAATGAAAAACTAAAAGCGGGAGTTAAGGTTACTCTCTTCATCTCTGAGTGCGACAGTTTCTTGGAATCTTCGTCAAGCTTTTCCAGGTCATACTGGCTGAATAATTATAAGACTTTGTCAAGAAGAAATATATTATTCATGGTTAATTACTGCAATATTCTCATTGCAGAATTTAATATTTAATCATTTGGAAAATCTTTTTATCCTATTAGGTGCTGAAAAGGAGTAATGAAGTGAATATTTTCATATAGTAGGATTAATTGGAATGTTGTCTTGCTCTAGGCCAAAGGGTTTCACTTGACGCGCCAACTTTAATCATTTTTGGAGGCTAAGAAGTACTGTTAAGAAAGATTTTGAGGCTGTCCTCATTCTACTGGAAGGAGTATGCATCATTTGATTTGTGTTGTCTGCCATAGTCAGGAAGAATTGGTGGCCTGTTAATTACTGTATAACGTGACTATGTATTAGTGTTTGTTTTCTACTTTTGTTGCACAGTACATATACATTCTTTAGTGGATTGCATTCATGCCAATTCCTTATTTTGTGAATAGCAACAGATCACTTAACTAATTAAATTCTTTCAAATTAGGAATTTTTATAAGCTACAACATATTAAGTAAATTTTGACTATATAGGTGAGTCAGCTCTTAACTGAATTCTCTGGGAATGTGAGTCAATTCTTCATTTGTATTGAATATTAATTGGGGAATCATACTTTCATACCACAAGGGAAATAAAGCATTTTTTTTTATTCACTTGAACTTTATGGAATTTCTCCCATAGTATTCAGTTTATGTAGGAAGAGTCTCATGTCTCTAAAATCTAACCCTTAAGTAAGAAATTTCTAGTAAATTCATTACATTTTGTTTCGTAAGAGTAATACATGCTGTTTCTCTGCTGC